AATATTTTATATAAAGTAAGTGTATTACAGTTTATCCATAGAGATATTACGTCTTTATAAGATTGCATCCTAGTTCTTTTATGTTTTTTGATGCTATTGTAAATGGCATCTTTTAAAAATTCCTTTGTTTTGTGGCTGGTATAGAAATATGTTTAGTTTTTGTATATTATTTTACTTTGCTGGCTATAACCTATAGTATAGTGTTGAATGAAGGGTATTGATAATAGGCCATCCTTGCCTTCCAATATCAAAGGGAAAGCTTTTTAAAAGCATGTCACAGTTAAGTGTAATATTTGGTACAAGTCTCTTTAGATAATCTTGATCATATTAAACAAGTTTTTTTCCTATTCCTACTTTGCTAAGTGTTGAATAATAATGTTGAATTCTATCAAACCCGTTTTTAAAAAATTAAAGCACTGTTTTTTGCTTTTGTTTAAGATTGATTTTTTTAAGAAAATACTTTCCAGAATGTTACATAAAATTGCACATTTTTATCAGGTTCTAATCTTATAGAAAATCTATCTTTAATAAAACAATAGCACAACTAACAATTATTGTGCATTTCTTCTGTGTTAAGCATTATATTAAGCAGTGTGGTAGAGTGGAAAGGTCTCAGATCCTAGTGCAAAACTGTCTGCTCTGAACTCTAGTTCTGCTGGGTACTAGCTATGGGACCTTGGGCATATTATTTAACCTATGTGTACCTCAGATTTTCCATCTGCAAAATGGAGATAATAGTAATATCTACTACATAGAGTTGTAAGAAATGAGAGACTTACTATATGTAACACATATAGAACAAAGCTTGTTATATAATAAGCTCCGGGTATGGGTTAGCTGTTATTTATGTATGTCTGTATCATTTATTCCCTAGTAACTTCATGAGGTGAGTACTAATGTTATCTCTATTTTATAGTTGATAGTGAGACTTTAGAGAATTGAGTCATGTGTCCATGGTTGCAAAGCTAGGAAGTGGCAGAGCTGGAATTCATACCCAGTCTGTCTTAACCATTAAGTCAGTGATTCATAGTACTCTTCCCCCACACATGTATATACTGACATACAAATGTATATACCTTAATTGAAAGAAAGGTTTCACAATACCCATACTATATGTGACATACTTTGATATTTTCTATTTTATTTCAAAGATACTAGTCATGATACTAGGGATTATGACTTATAATTTGGAAATCCCTGTACATACCATTTTATTCATTTACTATTCATTCATTCAATAAAATGAGCATCTTCTCTGTAGAAATCACGGTGTCAGGTATTGCTGTTAATAATCTCTTTTCAGATGTAACCTTGGTTAGTTATAAAAAGATCCACTTTTATAAAACAAGAACTTAAGGATTATAAAATTCTGGTCAGATTGGTGACCAGATTTGTTTATAAATATCTTTGTTCTCATTTACTTATCATTCCTGCTAAATGATGTAGAAATGGAACATTCATTTATTTGAGCAGACACATGTCAGTGGTTCTCTAAAGAGAAGCTGCTAGGGCTCTGTGCCTGGTTCAGATTGTTATTAATCTTCTAGACCAACCATATCAGCTGCTTTATTCATCTTTTTCATTATTTCCTTTGAATTTGACATTTCTGCCTCTGAAAATTGTGTCCACAGAGACTCCAACCAAGCTCTGCATCTGCCCCCTTATCTTTCTCAGCAAGAGTGTTAACATTTGAAGGGATGAAATTTAATATGATAGTTCCTGTTACCTGCACTAGAATAATTTCTGATCAAGAAAAAAAAAAATCTAAAGATTGTTTCTAAGGTTTAAGACTATAGCAAAGACAAGCATGTTACCTTTTTTCTAATAATGCTCATGAATGGTTACATTTGTGAGTAATAAAGCTCCTTTTTATTATTTAGCAAGCTCCTTTTAGAAGATTTTGCAGAACCAAAATTGTGGACAGATCATGACTCTTACCTGCAGTGTGGGGCAAAAGTAGATTTATAGTTGTGAATATGTGAAACAGAGTTTATTCTTACGTTATTTGTTAATTAATGTATTATTTTCCATATGAACAACTGTAATTCTACTTTTGCCCCACCTTGTATTGTAGAGAGAGTTTAGGTAAAGGTTTGTACAAGGCAATTTTTAAGGCACTTTCTAACTCTTAAGATTCTAGGTCCTGTAAAATGGGGATAATGATACTTCTCACAGTTACTGTGATGAAGAAGACAGCACCTTTAGAAGCTTCGTGAACATTACATATTTGGTATTCACTGAGTGTTCTTTGCCATTATCTATAAGAATAATCCTTGTCCTGGCCTTGTACAGGTGAGATAATCAATATCCTTCAAGTCCTTTACAAGCATAGGAGGCGTTGAAATCTGTATGTGCTTCCTGGCTGGGCACCACTAAGGCCATTTTGCTTTAGTTTGTTCATATACATATCTGTCTTTCTCTGTTTCCCTGTGTGGTCTCATATATCTGCTTCTCTTTGCATACCTACTGTTTGCTTTATGACTTTGAGCAAGAGCCTTTATACAAGATCTGTCCAGAATAAGTTCAGCTATTGTTAATGTAACTAGAACGGTTTGTGTGACATCGATATAATCTGGCAGCCAAGGAGAGTGGACTTGGATGCACATGCATGGACAATGATGACTTCATTGTACTGATCAGTGGGAACAGTAGACACAGTTGAGTGAGCATGTGTACTGTGTGGCCGTTGCATTCAAAATGACTAAGTGAGCAGAGTGATGAATCTACATCAGATTTTGCGTTAAGCTTGAACGTTGTCTGCGGAAACTATTGGGATGACTCAGAAGGCCACAGCTTTGGGCAGCTGGTGATTGGCAGCTTCATCACGACAACATGCCCACTTATGCATCTTGTCTGGTGCAGAGTTTTTTACAGAAACATCAAATCACCCAGGTGAATCAGTCTCAGATTTGGCATCCTGTGACTTCTGGCTTTTCCCAAAACTAAAATGACATTTGAAAGGGAAGAGACTTAAGACCATCAGTGAGATTCAGGAAAGTACAGTGGAGTAGCTGATGGTGATTGGGAGAACTGTGTGAGGTCCCGAGGTGCCTACTTTGAAGGGGACTGAGGTGTCATTGTCCTATGTGCAGTGTTTTTGTATCTTGTATCTTCAATAAATGTCTCTCTTTTTTATATTACATGGCTGGATACCTTCTGGACAGACCTCCTATAGTACTGTGCCCCTCCTTTAACATTATCTTCAAATGCTTTTTAGGAATGTCATCACATTAAGTGTGGACCTGTTAGGATAATAATGATAATGAAAATAATAGCTATTATTTATTAACTGTCTATTGTAGCCCAAGCACTGTGCTGAGTATTTTATCCATGGCATATAAATACCATTATAATCCCCATTTCACAGATTAGCAAAACTAGACTCAAGGAGGTGATGTAACTTAATTGCCCAGTTCACCCAGCTGATGATTATCAGAACTGGAGTTCCAGTAAGTGTCTCTAATTCTAAGGGCCGTGCTTCTGCCCCGACACATGCATAGCCTCCACCATTATCGACCTCTATATATTCTAATTAATTTTGCTGTGAATCTAATATTTTTATAAAAAATAAAATCTATTTAAATATATATATTAGAAACACCTAGAGAAGATGCTGGCAAACTCCTGTTTCTATACAACTTGTGAACTAAGAATGGTTTTATATTTTTTTAATGCTTGGGGGAAAATAATATTTTGTGAGATGTAAAAAATCAAATGAAATTCAAATTTCAATGTCTATAAATTAAATTTTATTGGAAAAAAATAACTCTAAGGGCTGTGTACTTAATCATTATACCTTGCCTGTTACTACTCAGCAGAGACTCAAATCTCTGGTTTCCTGTCGTGGCCTCTGATCAAAACCTTTCCTGGAGGTTTCTTTTACCTGTTAGCAAGCTCTGACATCACAGTGTACCAAGGCACTTTTTTGTCATATGCCTGTTCTTTGGCACTTGCTTGGTCCTGAATAAGTGTAATTTGAGGGAAGAGGAAGTAGAGAGCTATATATTCCAGCCCGAATTTCCTCTTTGACTAACTTGTTTGTTGTTTGGCAGTGAGTTCCTTAACTATGGGTATCATAATGATTCATTTCTAAATATGCAGTACCTAGGACAGAACCTAAGCACAGAGTAGATGTTCTTCTAGAATGCAAGTTTTACCAGGGACTTTAATTCACTGTTTTATGCATGCCTTACAGTAGCACCTAGCCTAGAATAGTTGCCCAATACATATCTGTTGGATGGATGGATAGGTGAATAGGTGGCTGGCTGATTGGCTTAGCTGGGCACGGTTAAAGCTTCTTGTTAACAAGTACAATGATCATTTTTTGGGAGTATACCATGTTCTGGGCACTTATATACATTTTCAGTAATCTGCAACACCCTCCTAAGGGTAAAAGCAATGAGAGGTGGCATGAGGAAGCTAAGGGACAGGGCGGAATAAGGGATATATCCCATATTTCTGACTTGGATACTGATCGAAGTGATGATGAAATCCAGGGGGAAGAGTATAAGTTCATTTTTCTGGGAGGCTATATTTGCGGTATCTGTAGGGATCTGTTCCTAGGACAACAGTTCTGAAGAACCCATTTTGTCTCCTGTTTGCCACCAGTTATACTGGAGATGGTGATGCTCTTGATCTGCCCACAGCAGGGTTTTTTGTTTTAGAACTGCAGGCTTATAGAACTGCAGGCTTAAAGCCATTTTTCCCGCTGTATTTTTTTTTCTCGTTATTTTCTTTTTTAAAAAATTTTTTATTACTCTCCAATTAGAGTTGTCCCCATTTTCCCCCATTACTCTCCCCTGCCCTACCCATCCCCCATCTCCCACAATCAGTCTTCCTTCCTGCCTACCATTGCCTTTGTCCGTGGGTCCTTTATACATGTTCCTTGACTTGACCCTTCTCCTTCTTTCCCCTGTTATCCTCCCCACCCTCCCCTATGGTTACTGTCAGTTTGTTCTTTATTTCCATTACTCACTGTATCCTAACTTGAATATGTTCAGTTTCTGTTCCAGATGATCGGGCTGAACAACGAACCTGTCTCATTTGTGGGGACCGCGCCACAGGCTTGCACTATGGAATCATCTCCTGTGAGGGCTGCAAAGGGTTTTTCAAGCGGAGCATTTGCAACAAGCGGGTATATCGGTGCAGCCGTGACAAGAACTGTGTCATGTCTCGGAAGCAGAGGAACAGGTGCCAGTACTGCCGCCTGCTCAAATGCCTCCAGATGGGGATGAACCGGAAGGGTGAGTGGTGTTTGTGGCTCTACTACCCACCCTTCACCCATCACTTTACCTTTAGTGTCAGCTATTAAAGGCCTTGGAGTTATTTCCCAAACCTGCACTATATGCCAGGCCTTGCACTGTGTACTCATAACCCAGAAGTGAATCTGGCACAGGTATAATGATTAAGTACATAGCCCTTAGAGTTATTTTTTCCAATAAAACTTACTTTACAGACATTGAAATTTGAATTTCATTTGATTTTTATATCTCACAAAATATTTTCTCCCAAGCATTAAAAAAATATAAAAAACCTTCAGACTACATGGTGAGGAAAACTGGTGAGATGTTAAGGATTCTGTGAGAATGAATGGACAGACTCCATGTGGCAAGACCCCAATGAATAATCAAGTCCTAACCGAAACTAACATACTCCACTAGTTCTTCTCTCAGGACATGATGGCAGGAAGTAGTGATTTTAGATGAAAAGGTAGGAAAGGCAGTAGGTCCTCTAGATGTGATACCATTTTGTTTGCTAGAGTCATGGCCTACTCAGAGGCTAGGCATGCTCAACAATCTGTGCCCAGTTGGTGAAGATTTGGGGATTTATTGGGAAGCTTTCCAAGAGCCATTAGCCTGAAATGACATAAATGAACAGATGTTCTAAGGGGATTTATCCAGAGGGCAGCTTTGAAGATGGATTGGGGTGAGGGAAGCACAAAAGCCACCTAGAAAGTTTTTGGAAGAATGCAAAGAAAGGTGTGAAGGACTTGGAGGGGAAAGTGATGACACAAGATGGGGAGAGGTGGGAGAAGCTTACATGGTAGAAGCTGGCGACATACTGACTATTGGGCAGCACCAGACGTTGAGGTTAATAGTACTGATCCTATCAAGAAGAAAAAAAGTCAGGCTAAAAAAGCAAGGTGGGGCAGATTGTTGGCCTTGGTGATGCTGAGTCGGGGGTATCTGAGAAGGATACATACAGGTGTCCGCATGGAAGTTGGATATATAGGACTTGAACTGAGGTGAGAGGTCCTGCCTGCACGTAGAAATTTGTAGAGCTGTTGGCATAGAGTTGGTAAAATTTTGTCAGTGGGTAGAAATCACCCAAAGAGAACTTGGATACAGAAGAGAAGAGGGCTGGTGTACCAATTGTAGGAATGTTGTCATGGGTGGTGGAGCATAGTGCTGTGTATTTCAGTAGAAAGAATGGAGGCTCTGGAGGCAGAGGTTGGTGACAGCCTAGTTCTGTGACGTTGGGCAGATTGTTTTATATCTCTGATGCTCAGTTATCTTACCTTTAAAATGGTATGATAATACTTACTTTCAGAGTTCTGTAGAGCATTGAATGTGACAATGTATATTAAAGTACCCAGCAAGGTATTAGGAGGTCCTGGTGTGCAGAGGTGGGAGTTAGATTTAGTGAACTGTTCAATTGGCCTGTAGCATTAAAGAATGAAGGCATCCCAATGTATTTCAGGTTGGTTTTGTTGGGGGGGGGGGGCGTGTGGACAAGAAGAATCTTTTGAAAATTTGCCCATTATGGGAAAAGGTAAGAGATATAGAAAGTCATTGAGATGAATTTAGATCATTTATAGTTTATTTATAATACCAATATTTATGAGCACTATGTGTACCAGAAACTCTCACCCTCCGTCTATGCATTACCTCATACGTACAACGACCCTATTATTAACTATTATCCTCAGTTTACAGATGCTGCTTAGGAGAGTAAAATGATTTTATCCCAGTTTGTTTAGTGGTGACCAGGTAAGAATAGCCAATTTACTTGAGCCAAAAAGAGGATACACCTGGAAGCAAGATCTCAGCAGACTGCGATAAATGCTTCAGAGAGTAACAGTTAGCACGTTCTTGTATGCGTTCGAGATTAAGGAGGGAATGTGAGGAAGATTATAGGGTAGTTAAGATTATGGGCTGTTTTGAGGGCGGTCACATGGATTGGATTATAGGGTAGTTAAGATTATGTGCTGTCTTGAGGGAGGTTTATTTTAAAGATGTGTTACCCTAGATGCACAGAAACAATGGACAGGACTTGCTTAAGGCAAAGATAAGCCTTTTACTAAAGAAGTAATATGCCCAGAACGTGACTACCCACTATGACCTGCCCAGTTAGGAATTTATGATCAGATCACCTTGGGAAGATACTTTCCATCGAATCCCTTTTTTCGTCCACACCAGCCACCAATATCAAACAAATGTCTTGAAAAGAGAGCTTGTGGTCGGTCATCTACCTACCTGCACCTGATTTTGTGTTGGTCTCTAGTTTTCTTTTATCTCCCTTTGTAGCCCTCACTACAAAGATTTTCTCAAAGTTTATTTATGGGATGCCTTCTTGACTACTCAGATGAATCATCCTGCATGTTCAGCTGGAGTATGAGATTCTGAGCCTTCCAGCCAAACTCACCTATTTTAGGGAAGAAGAAGCTTTAGCCTCTTAACCATTCCGATCATAGCAAGAAGAAGGTGACACAGGGATATGAGGGATGGGGAGCTGCCTCCCAGGTCCATTTGTGTGCAGAGCAGGCAGGCTCCGCTGCCTGGTGAAGGCTGCCTCTAACAGAGAAACCCTGCCACCTCCTGGCTGGTGCTGGGAAAGTGGAATTAAAATTAAAGCTGCCATTGGAATATTTTTTGGGTGATGGAACTGTCCTTCTATAGACTATGATGTTCAACACATAGTTTTATGCATTTATTAAAACATGTGGAATTATACTCCACAAGTTTTAATGTATACAGTTTTTTTTAAAGCCTTACCTGAGGATATGCTTATCAGTTTGAGAGAGAGAAAAGAGAAACCTTGATGTGAGAAACATCAAGCAGTTGCCTCCCATACACACCCTGACTGGGGACTGAACCTGAAACCTTTTGGGGTACAGGACAACGCTCCAGCCAACTGAGCCACTTGGTCAGGGCAATATATAGTTTTGTTTTTGTTAGTTTTTTAAAGGATACTATATGTGGTGGGGGAGGGGATAGAATGCAGACTATGATAAACGAATCTAACTGATATATGAGGTCTAACTCCAATGTGATTAAATAAATCACATAGCCACACGACAGGGAATGGGAAGATGGGAGCTGCTGACCTTGGAAAAACAGCGTTTTGTCTGTATACTGGAAGGCTGAAGACAAAAAGAACTGTACAAACAAAGCACCCTAGTTTGTAAATTTATTTCTTTCAGGGCCATGGATTTGGAATTCGTCACTACTTCCTTTGGATACTGGGGTTGAACAAACAAGTAATTATATTGTAGGTAATGAGGGTCAGGTTTCTCACCTTAAAGACATCATAAATCAGGGGAAGGCTAGAATAAAATCTCTGGTACCAGATTGGAATCAGAGGTATCAGTATGGATTCATGTTTAGATAGATAAAAAATATATATTTGTCTGTCTATACATATATAGATACAGATACATGTGTAGCTGCATGAGTTGAGATAGATACTGTATTTTGCCGTGTATAATGTGCATCCATGTTTTTGACCTAAGCTTTCAGGAAAAAAATCTTTCTTTTTAATTTTTTAAATTTATTTATTTACTTATAAATACTTTTTTTGTCTTATAAAGGGATTTTAGCATTTATTTTTGAACATATTAAGGAATAAGAAATTTTATGTGCCAGTACCACCCATGTATAATGTACATCCTTATTTTTCCCTCAAAAATTTGGGCAAAAAAGTACACATTAGACACAGCAAGATATGGGTAGGTATATAGATATTAGCCTGTCCAGAAAGTCTCCAACCAGAGACATTTATTGAAGAAGATACAAGGAACATTGTACACAGAACAATGGCACCTCAGTCCCCTTCAAAGTAGGCACCTTGGGACCTCACACAGTTCTCCCCGTCACCATCAGTTGCCCTGTTGTATTTCTCTTAGTCTCATTGACGGTCTGAAATCTCTTCCTTTTCAAAGGTCATTTTAGTTTTGGGAAAAACCAAAAGTCTCAGGGCACCAAGGGCTATAGGGGGTCTGAGTCACCTTGGTGATTTGATGTTTTTGCCAAAAACCTCTGCATGAGGCATGATACAGGCAGGAGCAGGTGCTTTGTCATGATGAGGCTGCCCTTTACCAGTTGCCCGTAGCAGTGGTCTTCTGAATCATCAGAATAGTTTCTGCAAAGAAATGTTCAAGCTTAACACAAAATTTGATGCACATTTTTTGCTCTACTCAGTCATTTTTAATGCAACAGCCACACAGTACTTACACTTGCTCAAGAGCTTCTACTGCCCCCAGTTACTAGTACAGTGAAGTTGTTATTGTTCATGCATGTGCATTCCAGTCCATTCTCCTTGGCTGTCAGGTTATATCTATGTTGTACAAACCGTTCTTTAAACACACACACATTATTTTTTTCCTAGCCCTGTCCATTCAGAGGGGCAAGGAGCAAGGAGTATACCTAGCCTCCGGATCCTGGTTTCTAAATACCAATAAAAGGAATGGTGACTCCTTGGATCACTGATTCTAGGACTAAGGCTGGGAAAATATGAGCCTGGAAAGGCCCTGGCCAGATAACTCAGTTGGTTAGAGTATCATCTTGATACGCCAAGGTTGCAGGTTCAATACCCAGTCAGGGCACATACAAGAATCAACCAGTGACTGCATAAATAAGTGGAACAACAAATATCTCGGTCTCTGTCTTTCTGTACCTCTCCCTGTCTCCTCCCCTTCCTCTCTCTCTAAAAATCAATAACTAAAAAATCTTTTTCAAAAAAGATGAGCTTGGATCATCTTGTGGTGCCAGAGAGTGCTATATATTTTTTTAAAAGAAAGAAAAAGAAGGAATGAGGGAAATGGAAAATTAGAAGTCCATAGTTATACCTGCTGTAGGCAAGATCTATTGATGCATGCTAAAATATGGAGAGTATAGGTTTAAACAGATAGAATGTTTGCATAGTCGTAGAATATTTAGTAATTAAAAAGAGAAAAATAAGTTTTAGTAGAGAATCCTGATACTTTAGCCAAGCAATCAAGGTTAATATCACCAGTGTGTTGACA